CCTTCAGAATTATCTTAAGGTGGCTGATATTTGTGACCACAAAAGAGAAAACCACATCAGACAAGTCAGGATTCTGAGCTTCCCCCACTCCACCCCCACCAAGAAAAGCAATTAATATTTAAAAGCAGAGAGTGAACATACATGTGAAATACACATTATGTACTTACATAAACTAAATTACCTTTCTAACTGGGCACCGTGACTCAACAGCATTAAACTAACAATGGACCCATTTATTCAAAGCAAGATAGTTCTCTCGTTTCAGCTTACAGGGACTGAAGGGTGTTTCAGTCTGTCATCCAGGAGAGCAACTGCAGCTGGCATGTCTGGAGAAGCACTCACTGCACCCACAGCTTAACTGGGAGTCAAGCAACGGCAGTGCACTGAAAAATGACAGAAAACCTGGAGGTATTCAAATTCCATCCTTTGAGGACCATTTCAATCAATGCCTTTTGAAGAAGCCAATCCCTCCAAATACAAAAGATTTACACCCACTAAAACTGAAAAACACTGGCCAACCTGTTTGTCATTTCATCAAATACTGTCACATGACAGGGGTGACACACTACCCAGTACTGCAAGACTGTGCTTATTTCTTTACCATATTAATTCTGTATTTCCCAAAACTTAGTGCCTTCTAGGAGGAATGCCTATAACTTTCAAGTACATGAATTCCCAGCCAAGTGTTTCACAACTGGTTTTCTGTGATATATTCCCAAACTGAGTTCCATACTTGAGAAAAATGATCTATTTCTTATACTTTTAAAAATCCAAATGAAATTGTGTCTGAGCTTCTAACAATTTATTCTCCTCTAACCCTTGGAAATCAAAGTCAATAGAGTATTTTTTAAAAAAAATCTAACCTCATTCTGATCTCTTCAAGCAACTTCTAAAACATGTTTAGTGGAAAGCTGGGAGCTCACTGGAGAAATCCAAATGCTAGTAATGAAGAAAGATCCTCTGGGTCACACATCAGATGACGACACACAGCTACCTACTGCCACTTTGAGAGCTTGCACCGAAAGATGCTTCTACACAAAAAGTCCCTGTAACTCCACCAGGAAAAAACCAGGTTGCCAAAATATAGCCTTGAATTGTGCAACTAATCTCCTATTTCTTCTTATAAAATACACTGGCAAAGACCAACAAACCCACACTGCTACAAAGAAACCCATCCCCACATTCCATGGTTTCAGGGCTATTCCCATAAACACAGGGTCATAAAAAGTAGCCTGCACACTCCAGCAGCAACACTCCATTTTCAAGAGGAAACTGAAGACAATGGCATGAATGTGCTGTTGTCACAGTCTGAGCATCCTTTAGGAAAGTTAGCAGGAGCTGCCAAGCCTACCTTAGAAACGCACCCACAAAATATCACATATACAGATGATGAACCCAGCTCGGTGAAATGTTGAGTTTTTAGTTTGCATTCTTTATGAACCAGGCCAGGTTAGCATATTTATACACTAGGACAACTAAATTTCAGGGAAATCGAATGTCCAAGTCCTTGCCAGTGGCTTATTTACCTCACAATTAAGTTACTACCCCAATGTTCCAGTGTTCTAAGAAATGAAAATGGCCCTTTAGAGTTCAATACATCTCATCAAAGGAAAAACTGTATGCTTCTGAATTCTAAAAATAAAGACATACAAGCTTCTGGGTTTCTTTTCTTTTTTCCTTTTTCAATTTTAATACACGCTAAGTAAAAATAATAACAATATAATAATGACTGCCATATTCCCTGAAATGGAGGGATTTAATGTTTCAAGTCCCTAAATAACTTTCATTTCATTACATATTATTACGAAAGACAACAATTGAGAGATTTTAATGTACAAAACCTTGCTAAAATTTTCATATGCATCATTACATAAGAGAATTATTAAATTACACATTTTAAGGCACACTGTCAGGTTTTAACTGCTTCTTAATTCTATTAATTAAAGATCCTGGTGATCACAGAAAAATATTCCAGCAATTCTACATAAAAAAGCAGAGTAAGGGTGATCAGAGGGGTAATTAAAATAAGTAAGGCATTTGTGACATTAATAATCTTGACACACTATAAATGTTATTAGGCACAAATTTTCATTAGGCACTGTTATTGGGCATGTTGAAACTAAACCATACAAGGGGTTAAAAATAACCACTCTAAAAGGCCAAGAGCCTTGCAGCCCAGTTGAGCCAACATTCCCTCCTCTCCTCCCCTCCCCTCCCAATCCTGTCCCGTCCAGAATGAATTGCATGCCCCACTGCACAGGCCCAAAAAGGTCACCGGAGATGGCAGACACTTTTGTAAGAGAACAGAAATAACTCAGCAGCTTTGTTATCGTGGTCGCTTTTAATCAGTATGTTCAAAATCCTTTAATTAGCACTCTGTCTACACAGGGAAAGCACTTCTGAGCCAGGGAAGGGCACGCATGCATGTATGTATGCAGTGTTCCCTGTGTCAGCATCACAACAGAGCTAGCCCCACAGACTGTCTGCCAGGGAACTGAAGCACAAAACTCTGTAAAGCCTGGCACCATGCGTAGGATATGTATGCTTTACATCTTTATTACCAAACAGCAAGGCAATGACTGAGTTTGTCTCACTTAGGTACCAATTCACTTCTGGACCTTTTCTCAGCAAAGCCTGAAATATTTTAAAGTAAGGTTGGTGAGATGGCTTAGCAGGTACAGGGACCTGAGCTCAGTTCCAGGAACTCACACATGGAAGGAGAGAAGAGACTCCTTCAAGTTGTCCTCTGACTTGTACCCTGTACCAATGGCATGCTCGTGCACACAAATGAACACAAGTACTTACACGCACACACGCACGCACGCGCGCGCACAGACACACACGTTAACAATAAATACTGTAAGAAGCTTTTAAACTAAACAATTTTTAGTAAATTAAAATAGGAAGTGAAAAGTTAATATAAAATAATGTAAAGATAAATCCATAGGATTTCATTCTCATCACAGATCTTCAGTACAGAAATACTACCTCATGTGACTAAATTAAATCCTAACATAACACTTTCACATGGATACTTCACATTTAAAATTAAGCACAAAGTCTTAGAACTTACATATTATATTATTTAAATACACTTCCCTGAAAAATATGATTAACTAGAATCAAGAAAAATATCAGCAATAAGTTAAAGATAAGCTATTTGTAAATACGCTGCCAAGAAACAATGGAACTCGATTACTTAAAAGGGGATTTGTAATATCTGTAATAAGCAGGAGGCACTAACTTTTCTTAAACATTCAAAATCAAGTAGGATTTTACATAGGTACTAAGACAAAATATATACAAAAATATTTACATATACAATATATATATATAAGCATATGTAACTAAAAATATCAGGGACAAGTATTGTAGCAAATAACTATAATCCCAATACTCAGGAAGTTGAGACAGGCTTGAAATCTCCACCTATTTTAAGCCTGCTACACAGCATGACACTCTCCCAGAAGTCAAAAAAGTAAAAAAAGAAGAAAAGAAGGGAAGGGAAGGAAGGAGGGAGGGAGGGAGGGAGAGAAACAGAGGCAGGGAGGAAGGGAAGGAAAAAAGGAAGGAAGGGAGGGAGGGAGAGAAACAGAGGCAGGGAGGAAGGGAAGGAAGGAGGGACGGAGGGAGGGAGAGAAACAGAGGCAGGGAGGAAGGGAAGGAAGGAAGGAGGGAGGGGAAAAGGAGATGGGAGAATGGTGCCTCCAAGGAAACATGGAGAGAAAAGGAAGGTATGGGAACTATATATCATATGCTAATATTTTAACAAAGAAAGTTCATATGTATAAGAATATGCAACAAATCTCTAGAAAGTTATGCAAGTAGAAGGCTGGGAAGATGACTCAGTGGCTAAATATGCTCGCTCTGCAAGCCTGAGGCCCTGAGTTTGAATCCCCAGCACCCATCTAAAAAGCCAGGCATGGCTGTGTCAGTGGGCAGAGAGAGGCAGATCCCAAGAGAGCACACTGACCAACCAGACTAGTCAATGGTGAACTTCTGGTTCAGTGAGTTCCTATTACAAAGCAATAAAGCAGACAGAGATGAGGCAGATACCCAGTAACCTGTCTGGCCTGTACATGAGTGTGCACACCAACATACTCATATACATACAAACACACACACACACACACACACACACACACACACACACACACACACACACAAAGGAAGTTATGCAAATAAATAATAGCAATAATTCCCTTTTGGTGAGTGAAACTGTGTCTGCTATAGTCTCAATTAAGTAAAAATTGTAATTACTCCTTTCTCAGAGTCATTAAGACATTCTAAGCCCAGACATATGGTACACACCTCTACTCTCAGCAGTCGGGAGTTAGAGGCAGGTATATCTCTGTAAATTCAAGGCCAGCACGTATGCGCGAACCACATTCAACTAATCCCAATGAGGTAAAGAGTCAAATCCCAACTATTCACAGGCAATCTAGCTGGAGATCCACACCCTTCATTCTCTCCACAGAACTAAGTAACTTTTTTCCATCTTACTCATGACTGTTACCTCCACCAGAATATGAGGTGAAGAAATAATACCAAAACCAGTCATGATCACTAGTGTTAACAGATAGCTTTTGGAGCTGAAATGAGCCATTAAAACTTAATAGCACAATGCCATAAAGGTACTTTTGAAGAAACTAAAGCCCAAAGAATTTCCAAAACTAGGGGCAATTCAAAATCTTAGAGTTTGCTCCTCAGTTCGATGTTTTCTATTTTAGGTTTGTTAATATTAGAGAAACTGAAAACAAGCTGAACTGAAATAAAGTATCCTTGTTAAGTACCTTCCCTCTTCATCTTTATTAGATAGCCAAAGCTGGCAAGAGGAAAGAAAAAAACGCTCCCACAACTGTAGTAAGTGTGGTACAGATCGACAGAGAATTCAACAGCACAGTCCTGAGGGCCCCAGGACCAAACAGTGAATGAATGTTTGCAGTGACATCTGTAAACCTGAATGAATGTTTGCAGTGACATCTGTAAAGGTGGCTTACACTAGAGATGGTCAGGGGCATGTTGAAATCCTTGCCACCTTGGAGACGGAAACCCCAAGGAGCTGGGCCGACCAACGACACACTGTAGTTGCTCATGGTTCCAAGGGTTCAATGTGCAGTTCCAAACTCAATGAAAGAAACTACAAAAGAAAATGAGATGGTTAATAAAAACTGTTTATTAGAAACCAAATTACATACATCAACGCACTGCTCACAAAACTGTTCACTATTTTGGGGTGGGGTGAAAGGATCTACAGGCTATAGCTAGCAAATTCTTGATTAATTTCAGCAGAGGAAAAGGAATCTATAAGCCAGTTAACACTCAATTTTATACTCATGCCCATTCCCAAACTGCTAAACCAAATGTTGTGGAGTCTCACATACAAACTTTAATATTTTATTGGAGGAATTACATACTCAGACCAGAAGAAGATTTTATTTCAATTGTAATTCAACATGATTTTCCCATTCCCTCCATCTTGTGCATCCTTTTTTTTTTTTCCAAGACAGGGTTTCTCTGTGAAGTTTTGATGCCTGTCCAGGATCTCACTCTGTAGACCAGGCTGGCCTCGAACTCACAGAGATCCACCTGAACCCCAGTGTTGAGATTAAAGGCGTGCGCCACCACTGCCTGGCACTTGTGCGTCCTTTTTTTACTGTAGACAGCAAGGCACTTTAATCTCACTTACTTCAATTACGTGACATATTAAAGGGACTGCGGAACTGTTGGCTGTTTGTGTTTTCTAAATAATAAATTATTTGAAACTGAGATGAGCACAAACTATGCTAATTAAGAATTGTAACTCATAGCCTCTTCTATAGGAATATGGTATTTTCCACAGTTAAGAGAATGTAAAATGTTGCTTTAATCTCAGTGGGTTCAGGTATCTACACGTGCTTTTGAATTTGGTGTGTTTTAAAAAGTGAAAAAGTATATTAAGGCAGGAAAGATAAAGTTGTTGATTTTAACAGTTAAGATTTTTCTAAGCAAGTATGATCTGTGTCTGAAATTGGGGGTTTTGTTGTTCTTTGTTTCTGGGTCTGGGAATTGAACCTAAGGCCTTATGTTCACTCATATAGGCAATGCTAGGCTATACTGTAGAACAGGTGGTATTTTAGTCTGAATCTTTGTTTTCTTTTCTACTCATACATTATCCAGCAAAGCAGAGAGTAAGTCTCCAAAGCCAGTAAATGAGGCTATACTAACCATAACTGAAGTACAAGGTTAACCTTAAGGGAACTAAATTGGAGCCTTAGAAAATTACCATGATGCAGTCCTCCCCCGCTCCCCCACTCCCGTCTTGCTGCACTGAGGCTCATAATGACTCCAGGGTAGCTCTTTTAAAATTTACTTGAGAGTGTCCTATTGATAATTAGGAGGCATTGGGAAGAATGAAAGTTGTTCCTTCTTTAAAAAGAATAATATTAAGGACATACAGTTCTTCCACTTAAAAATAGGTAGGTGTATGACTTTATAACTTTGAAGACATTTGTTAAAACAAAGCTTTGAGAGTTGGAAATTATAGCTCAATGGTAGAGTTTGCCTAGCATTTATGAGACCTTAGGTCCAATTCCCAATACAAAAACATATTTCAGACTTCCTTTAGAAAATCTGAACTGTTAAATCAACCACCTTAATATACTCCTTCTTAAATCCACTCAAACGTCTAGCCATCATATCAAGTTCAGCAGCACATGTACCGCTGAGGAGAAGGTAAGCAGATTCCTTCTTCTCAAAAAGGGAAAATGACACAACACTTTAAAGGAAATCTAGTTCCTGAAGAAAAATGACTTCAGGGATAATGTGCACTGACTGCAAAGCTTTCCAGATGCAAGGGCAGTGCTAGACTACTGCTCAGTGACATTACTTTAGTACTGCAGCAGTAAGCAATGGCCATACAAATAGACTCAAAAGACACCAGAAGTCAAACTGTCAAACTGCAGGTGGGAAAAAAAATGGTAGGGAGTTAATAACATGCCACACAAAATCGCCTTCCCGTTATAAAAAGATCTCCGCAAGACCAGTAGAGGCAGTCTTGATATTGACATACAGTACAAATAAATCTGTAAGCCAACTGATACTTCACAGGCCACTGTCCTTTTTTAATCGTTAACTGTGCCAAGGGAAGAAAGAATGTGAAAGTTATGCTGAACTTCCTCCGGCTCCATTCTTCCCTAGGAGAGAATGTATTTTATGTGTGTATCAACCCACATCCATGTAACTTCCCTTTTCTTAGAGACTCCCTTCCTGATTTCTCCCATTCATTATTAAAATTTCTAGCACTGGCCAGGTCAGCCAGACCATAAAACCGGTTGTCTCTTCTCTAAATTCCCTTCTGCTGCCTTCAGTTGGAATTCATTTGTCTTAAATTATTTTGATCCTTAGGCAACAGCAATATTTTTATTGGCCTTTTCCAAGTCTCCCGCATGTGGTGATTAGTGCCCGAATCCTAAAATACCAACAGAACAGGCAGGAAATAACAGCTTATTCTGCTTTCAAACAAGTAAAAATGTTGGAATTTCTGCAGAGTTCTGGATTTTCTTTTAGGGACTATTTAAATTATGCCTTCCATCTAGAGCTAGCGAGGAAGGCTGGAGGTGGTTTCCCACATTTCTAAGTCAGATAGCTTCCTTATTAAGTGAAAAGGGGGAGAGACCTACTCCGAGTGACAAGCCCTTCAATTAAAGAAGACTATCTAGAGATTCTTTCTCTCCTACTGAGATATAATGGTGGGAGGGCTGAAGAACTAAGTCACAGGACTAGACGTTTCCCAGCTGAGGTTCACGCCTAGCCCTGTTGGCCAAATAAGGTTCCCCAGCCAGCAGTTTCCGTGGCAGGCGGGTTCAGACGTCCTCGGGTCAAGGAGGAGGACCTGGGATAGGATCCGGCGATCACACCCTAGACCTGCCCAGCCCAGCCACGAATTTTCTTTCCAAGTTCTGCCCAGTCCATACGCCCTTCCTTTTTCCACCCATTGTCAAACCCAACTGAAGCACCGTCTGCCAAAAGCCTCAACAAGTAAACCTGTTTCAAAACTCCGGCGACCGCGACAAATTTGTTAAGTGGGCTTTATTTCTGGACGCACCGACGCTCCCCCCCAACAGGTTACACAATTGCAAACATTTAAGGGAGGGGAAATCAACGCTTCTCCGTAGCCTGGAAGCCAGCAAACAAAGTAGCGCCGCTTTCCCGTGTGAGCGCACATTCTCCGCACGCCCGAGCCTCCGGGGGGCCGGTGCACCGGCAGGCCGAGGTGCTGCCCCCTCGCCGCCTGCCCTAGGTCTCGGCGGGCGCCCCCTGGCGCGCCCGGCTCTCCCGAGCGCCAGTGGCGGACAGCCCCGGCTGCGGGCGCTCCATCCCGCCGCGTGCCCGGTCCCGCGCCGCCCTGCCTGCCGGGGGACCTCTCCCACCTCCGCCACCGCGCGCACCCAGAGCACCTGAACCCGGGAGATGCGCGCCCCGTCCTCCTCCCGCCGCGCGCCCCTCGGCGCGCAGCACCGCGCCACCTCCTTCTCCTCCTCTCCCCGATCGGACCAGGACGCGCTCCTCCGCCGCCCGCCGCCACTCACCCCGGACCCGCTTGGCGCAGCCTCCGCCTCAGAGCAGCGCTGACAAGTGGCTCCTAATGCCTGCGCCGTCCCCTTCAGCCCGGCGGGGAACTTCCGCCTCCGCGCTCGCCCCGCCTCGCCCCGAGGCTGGCCACGCCCCCTCCGCTCCTGGCCACACCCCAAAGCCGGGCTGGGCGGGGCCGCGCCAACAAGGCTTAGAAGGCAAGTGGAGTCTCCAGGCTGGGCGCCGGGACTTGCTGGGGCTGGCTGCAAACGCCTCAAAAACAATTCCCCTGTGGAGTTTCGGTGGGTGTAGTCTCCCGGGATTTCGAATGGTCCCTGGCAGAGAGCTAGCCTTCCGCTTTTCTGTTTTGTGTTTGAGCGCTTTTTCACTCTGCAGAAACTTGAATAAACCCGCAGTTGGTCTGGCTAAAAATAGAAAGGGACTTTGGCTGAATCCCTGTCGACGCAAGTTCAGCGACTACCGCCTGGTTTTGTGAAGGACTTCTGTATACTCTGAGAAGTGCTTGTGAGGAAGGTGAAAATCGCTAACCCTAATAGGCAGAAGTTAAATCTGTCGTCACGCTAGAAGACAGCCATAGAAAGCAAAGGCCAAAAGTGATTCAGCCACTATATCCTCGGCTTATTTTTCTTAGTCCAAATCAACAACACATTTACCTAATTCTATAAAGTTGTTTAATTTTGCCCAGAGAATTTATTCACAAGCAAACACTAATAATGTTCAGTGAACGCTCCAAAAGAAACTTGCATTTTTCTCTTACTCTTTGAATTAGCTTTTAAAATGTTAAAAAGACAAGTGTTAGGCGAGTGGTGTATCAAACAAAAATAAACCGCAGAGAAGTCCATGACCATCTAGAGGTACAGGCAGAATTCTCGAGTAGGACCAAAGCTGATGATATAGCAGCCACTTGCCACATTCAGCCATAATCATTTGAAATGTGGCTACTGGGATTTTAGAGTTGGAGTTTAACGCGCCTTGAAAATGTTTTATGTCATTCTAATCAATCTAAATTTAGAAACAAGTAGGATAGTATTTCCATTAAATATAACTTTCAGTAGGATGACATTTCACTATACTGTTGAACATTTAGTGCCTAAATTGACATATATGTACTGGGTTTTTTAAACTTTTTAAATTTAAGAATATGTATGTTCATTACGTGCTGAAGTTATATTATCTATTTATTTAAAACAGGAAATCATAAACAACTGTGAAGTTATCAAGTAACTCCATAGTATTGCTTGATACTAACTGTATTACTTTATTGGTTCCAGATTCCTTTCAATACCAAAGTCCTTGGATGCTCACATTCCTCGTGTTAAATGATGAAGAGTTTGCATATAGACTATATATACATAGTCTGGTACTTGTAAATCATGTCTAACATGATTTACCTAACACAGAGTTAATAGTTATTCTGTTGCATTATAGAGAAAGTGACAAGAAACAAAGTCTGTACATACTCTGTATAGCCATGAGATTTTTCTAATAGTATACATCTGTGTGTAGTTGAATCCTCTGATTCAAAACTCCAGCTACAGAGAGTGGACCATACATACAAAGCAGGCTTGGCACCAAGTAAGTGTTAAATGATAGCTATATAAAACTTGTCTAATTAAGTGATTAGATTGGTGTATCATAATGACAAGTAGAGAACTTCAGCACCCATTATACATGTAATGTGTTTATGGTACTTTATGTACAGGTAATCTTATTTAACTTTTTTCAACCATGTATTTTTTCAGAGAAGGAAACAGACACTTGAAGGGCATGATTAAATTTAATGGTAGCTATGGGGCTGGAGAGATGGCTTAGCAGTGAAGAGCACTGGTTGCTCTTCCATATTGCTCTTCCATAAAACTGGGGTTTGATTCCCCCAAACCCACATGGTGGCTCACAATCACTGTAATTTCAGTTCCAAGAGATCCAATACCCTCTTCTGGCCATGAGGGCACAAGACACTCATGTGGTATATAAACTTATATGCAGGCAAAACACAATGCTCTCCCCAAGAGCCACAGACTGTCTAACAAAAACCCCAACACAAGGCATGAGAATCCTTTCTTGAGGGTCAGGGTTTTCAAGAGATTCCCAAAACATTCTAGGTTATTGTTGTTACATTTGGTTGCCCCCAGAAGTGGAAGGTAAGTCCTTACTGCTGAAAACACTATACGTTTCTGACACAGGACCCAGAGGACCTGAGCTAGATCTGACCCTAAAGCCTCCTCCCTGAGGACTAGTTTTCATGTTACCAGACGGCACCACATGCGAAATGCTGAAGAAAACATCCAACAGCCCCACCCAGCCCTGATGCCAATGAACTACAACAACAGCCAGCATGTCATGACACCCTCGCCATCACAACAGTGACACACGTACCTTGATGAGGACCACCAGCTCTCTAATTGTGCTTAAGATCCATCCAACAAGACGGAGATCACAGGTGCTGGAAACCTCGCCAACTGCCCAAGTCTAGTGAAGTCATGGATCTCGGAGGAGAACCTGCAACCCCCACTTTACTAAAACAGCATAGGCCCTAACTACACTCGATTTATCCTCATACCCACAAATAAGTATTTCTCACCCCTGTCAAGGAAAATTGCCTTTGCAACAGATAGAGACCATTACAGAAAACCACAACAGATCAAAACACAGAGCCATGGAGCCTAGTCCCAATTGGTACATCTACAACATAACTTCTGCACCTAAGGCTCATGGATCATTGAAGGAGGAGGAGGAGGAGGAGGAGGAGGAGGAGGAGGAGGAGGAAGAGGAAGAAGAAGAAGAAGAAGAAGAAGAAGAAGAAGAAGAAGAAGAAGAAGAAGAAGAAAAGGAAGGAAGAAAGAGAGGAGGAGGAGGAGGAGGACAATGACGACGACAACAACAACGACAAGGATGAGGACGAGGAGAAGGAGGGAGCACAATGATTGTAGGAGCCAGAAGAACAGGAAGTTTCCTGTGAGATTGTGTCTCCTAGAAATGTCAGAAAAGCTGCACCCATGAAGTCTTTCCAACATGGCTGCCTGAACATGACCTGAACAAAGATGGCAGCAATAGACTTGCTAGCATGGAAGCAGGAAAGCACTTGAGGCCCCACAACCTTAGACAAAGAAGTACAGGCAACTAAGGAATGCTCAGAGCAGGAGAACTAGCCTTCCGCAGGGAAGATCGCCCCAACTGGTTATCCAATACCAAATGGTCAGCTCTGAAAACATATACATACAAGTAACATACAGACTGAGCATGTTATATTTATATATTTAGAAATATATATGTATATATATATTTGTATATGCATAACAGTAATGTCTTAGTTTGGGTTTCTATTGCTGTGAAAAGACATAACTATAGCAACTCTTATAAAGGCAAGCATTTAATTCTGGCTGGCTTACAGTTTCAGTTTGGTCCACTGTTTTCATGGTGACACACAGGCAGACATGGTGCTAGGGAAGGAAGGAGCTGAGAGTTCTACATCTTGATCCACAGGCAGCAGAAGCAACTGTGTCGCTGGTCATAGCTTGAGCACAGGCGATCCCAAAGCCCGCTCCCACCAAGTGACACACTTCCTCCAACAAGGCCACGCCTTCTAATTGTGCCACTCCCTATGGGGACCATTTTCTTCCAAACCACCACAAATAATTAAAGTAAAACAAACCATGAATCTGAATGAGACCAGTGTTTGGCATGTAGGACTGTTTGGAGGGAGGAAAGAGAAGGGGGAAATGATATAAGAATATTATAATTTCAAAAAAATTTTTAAAAGGATACAAAGTTTGGGAGAGGTAAGGAAGGAAGGAGTGAGGGGAGAGAATAGAGGGTGGATAGGATCAAAAGACATTGTATGCATGTATGAGAGTCTCAAAACATCAATAAAAACATATTTTAAAAATACCCCTACACATGAAAAATAAAGTAATAAAATATTTTTAACTTAATGACAAGTAGCTGCCATATAAGTAAGCCAAAGAGTCTTACACCATAAAATACATTCTTGTCATCAGAACACACTTGCTGCTGTTAAATCAAGTAAACTGTCTAACTTAAAAGCCAAAGAAAGAAGAAAATCCATAGAAACTAACGTCTGAAGTCATGCATGTACAGACTGCAGCAAACTGGAAGAAAATAGATGTTCAGTTATTTGCATATGAGGGAGAGTGAACTTTTCCAAACCACATCCCAGAGGACAGATGCCTCGACTTGCCTTATTGTGAACGGCCACTGACCCATCTGACTCCCCTTGTTCATCCCCTTCAATCATAAATGGTTGGTCATAATTTGAAGGACAGCCTTTGACTTAACACTAGCAGGAAGAGAACTGAGTCATTGGGAAGCCAAACCAGCATCCCTGGACTTCTTAACTCTCACAGGCAAAGCAATAAGGCACTGGCCAAAGATGAAACCATATTCAAAACTCCACCAAAACCAGCTGGAAGAGAAGAAGGGAGTGGGGAATCAAAAGATTATCCAACTTGGCTGAAGAGTTTGTAGACTATTCTATCTAAATACAGTATTTACCTAAGTGTACAAATGTTTGCTTTAGCATTTTATTATCCAATAGATGACTCAGAACCTCCTGCAGTCCTTCAAAAATAACAGAAACTTTTAACTGCAAGATGACATGGCCATGACGAGTTTTTATAAACCAGCAGTCTCTTAAAAGTTTCTACATTACTCTATGTCAATTTGTCTTCTATGTCTCCAAAGCACTGGAAGAGTAGGACTGTTTAATGGTTAAAATCTAGAACAGAAGAGCAGCATGATCTAGTTTCACACTTTAATATTCCATATTGAGGAGAAACTGAAAACGTTGTGTTATTCTAATGCAAGCGAAGGCACCCTGAGGAATCTGGGGAGAAGGGCAGAATTGGAGCAGGTATGAAGAGAACAAAAGGAAATAAAAGGATGAGAATGAATATAAAACCAGACCTTCTAGGCAACAGAGGAAATGTACAACTGAGGAGGAAGGAGTGGTTTAAATTAGCTTCAGTGATCCAAGTCTCTCCTTACAAAGTGACATTAATAATTACTACCAAAGGAGAAGGAGTACTCTTGAAGAGACAATGCATCTTGCTGACAATTTCTAGTGAACAAAAAGACTGGATTAGTAAGTAAGTTATGACTAAGA